GTTATTTTTCATATTTTGCCAATTAATGTAAATGTGTGATGTGTTAAGCTTTGATTCTGTTAATAAATGACCGCATTCATTTTGATGGGTCAAAGATAATTAACGTCTCACATTACATTTCTAAATTCAATGCGCATTATATACAGTCCAGAAAAATGAAAGAATCCGTTTAATTTATGAATATATCTCATGCATATGTTCATCTACATTCTGGTGGCCCGTTACGTGTTCATAAATGGACTGTGTATGCGTGTAATAATTGATTTTACATGTTGGCATGAAAGAAAAATTGCAGATTATGCTGTGAAAAAGTGCAGATTTTGCTGTGATGGAACGCAGCGCAGCTGGGACGCTTGGAGTAAACGCAGCGTGCTGAGCTGGATGCTCAGAAAGCTCACAGAAATGTTAGCAGCTACTGGTGCTTTGAAAGCTGAAATTGTGAGTCAACGTGTCTGTTTGAAAGCTGGAATTGTACGTCTGTTTTGTGTGACAAATTTGCTGAGCTGTGGAAACGCTTTATTCTGTTTAAACTGTGTTCCAGACGCTGTTCTGGTCCGGTTCGGTTTCTGAAAAGTTCGACCGGGTTGTTTTAAATGGTGGGAAAGACGTTTTAATGCCGGGGCGCCGACTCCGTGCAGCTCAGAGCTTGATTCGTTACATTTTTAGCAGAAAATGGTGCATTTTGACAGTTTAAAAGACGAAAGGTTGACAGACTTGTTCAGGCTAAATGCTACATGCTAGCTGGAAAAACGTTCTGTGATTGGTTGAAAACGACCGTGTGTAACGTTTTGATTGGCTGAGAGACGTGTCAGGTCGTAAAGCCCACCCTCGTGCTGCTCTGTCATTGGTGGATTCAGTCACGTGACCCAGAAATGAAGCTCGTCTTCTTAGGGAAATTTAATCTGCTTTTTAAAGTTGAAAAACGCTTTAAAGTTGATTCTGATCCGCCGCTCAGTTCCTTTGATGCCTAATCGCTGAAATTTTGCCACGTTTGAGTTTGAAATCCGTCACTAAATGGTGTTTTTGGACCACGCTAGCCGATGCTAATTTTAAGCTAACAGCTAACGACTGGATGTCACCGGATGCCACAGGAAGTCATAGCGACTCCTACTGGACAGCGCTAACAGTGTCTGGGTTTAAATGAAATAAGGTTATGCTGCCACCTCCTGTGGAAACTTGATATCACAGTTTCACTGTGTTTTAGGTCATTTTGAGTGGAATTAAACGTGTTTATTTTATGTAAGACGAATTTTGAGTTAATAAACGTTCTTCAAGTTGAATAATCACTGTTATCTTGCATTTAAAAAGTAAGTAAGGTATTTATGCAGAGAGGCATTTACTAAAAACTTTTATTCACTGGTAATCCCTCTGATGGAGGTGCAAAATAAAAAGTTAGAAACTTTTTAAAAGATACAGTTAGGATATTCACAGAGTTGATAAAGTTTACTCATTTGCTGGAGAGATAATACACGTTTAATTGCTAGATCATTAAATAAGAGTAAATATATCAGAAGAGAGAGACTCTTCTGATTTTATTTTACCATCTAAAACAACACATTCTCCTATTTAATTTTTAAATAGCAGATAATGGCGGACGAAGACGTAAACACTGACCTCTTGCACTCCCAAGATGTCGTCCAAACGGCTTTACATATTTTAACAAATTCAATTATTGGTAAACAATTAGAGCAATTAGAACAACTTGATGAAATTCAAAGAGATGCAGAACTGAAAAGTTTGGCAAAATGAGCTACAGTGTCAGAGGATAAAAAATCGAGCCGTGAACGGTTAGCAAAAATGTCTCTGCTTCTCAAGGAGGAATTGGACCATCAGGTTGCACGAAATGTCATGCTATCCAGAGGATATGCATCTGCAAAGGAAAGGTGTGACGAATTGATGAATGAGTCTGCATTGGAGGCAGAAAGAGTGCAAGGTGAGAGGGACCTCTCACAGACTGAGCT